GTTTATGTGGCATTGTTAGTGACTGACTGAAGGCAGTAATAATTTTTGTCTGAAAAAAAAAACATGCTTGTCTCATCTCATTCATTAGGCTTTTGTTGTAGCACTGTCATGCACGTAATCAATGGATGAAAGCTTTCTGCTGAACTCTTATATAATATTTTTGTTATTACTGGTGCGAGAACATGTGCGTATACATGTGGTAAATGCAGTATAGTGTCAGCCCCTGAGCCACTGAATGAAGCGCGGCATCGGGTATTTGTATATGCGCCGTCGACCGCCCATCCACACTTGCGCAGGTGCGGTGCTGGCACCTGAGCCGCTAGACACCCTGAATGGCTAAGGTACCCTTTATTGGCTGCTGTGCTTCGCTTTAGGCACCTTCATAATTTACCTTGATGAGATCAGCTCCTGTGTCATCCCTTCTCTCTGCACATAACAGTATGTTAAAAACAAAGTAGTGCACAACTGTCTGACACTAGGCATGTAGCTTATGCCTTTCTTCATGACTTATCTTCAGATTAAGGGGTGATTATTTCTACACTGTTATCTTCTGTCTTTTCAGGTGTTATGTGTTCTGGTTTAAGTGCAGTTGTTCTCTAGTGGTGTCAGTTCTTCAAGGAGTGTTTAGAAGATGCCTCCGACATTCCAAAAATAACAAAACTTCCTCGTTGTGCCAAACAGAACCTAACAGCTACTCATGTCTGCATTTTCCCATTAGTCTATTGTACGATGGTCTGTTGAAGGCCACGATTAAGTTTTGGTGAACTACATGTGTGTATGCACATGACAAGGTAATCATGGTGGTGTTATCCAAACACCCAATCAAAATTACGCACCACGCAGAGTTTCACACCGATGGCACGCTTAATTATGCTGGTTGAGTGCTTCTGATGGGACTTCGTACACGACTTTGAAGACTTCTGTTGTGTCTGTTTCAGCATATCTTTCTTGTTCACGCATACCCAACACACTTAAAAAGGCGTACGCGTACGGTAAGCAGTACGGGTATCATACGTATCCGCACACGCGCACTTCGATATTGCTATCACGGTAAGCTCGGGTATACTATATCTTGCCTCCAGCCCTATATATATCTTGTCCTCCTGCCCGCACATCTCACCGCACCACTCATTCCTTTCATGTCGGCCGGCTACGCGCCCGTACCACGACATTTTCCGCCTCCTCCTTCTTTAGTGCAGCTTCCGACTGGAATGACCTTTCCACTGATCTCGCCACCATAATGTGCCACTCAACATTTACACAAAATGTCACTCGTTTCTTTTCAATTTGAATACATTACATTGTTCCTTTTTTGTGCCACTGGTTCTCACTTTGTCTTTTTTTTTTTGACAAGGTGTTACGCCTGTTAATATGTATACTGATCCTGCACATGTATTATTTTATTTCTGTATTCGGTTACCCCTGTTCATACTTATACCCATGCTGAATATGTATTACATTTGTTGTATGTTTCCCACCCCTTATGTAATACCCCCTCAAGGGGGTCTTTAAGGTAATAAAGTGAAGTGAAGTGAACTATATATTGTCGTACAGGGAAAAATCCGGCAATGTGGCTCTAGAAGGTTTGATATTCACGTGCGCATTTCTATAAATAGCTTGCTACGTAACGACATGGACGCAGCTTCACAATGAACTGGTTGATCATCAAGGCGGCTTTGATGACGCGAAGGCAGTGTTATCACACACGCTTCAATCTGATAACGACTGCGGCCGCAATGTTATTCTCCTCTGTGCGCCCACAACAAAATAACCTGCAAGCTGATGTAATGATAACAATAGCGAGACGTCACAAACGTATGCGTCCTACCATGCAGTGCTCCAACATGGCGGTTTCAGTGACGTGAGTGCAAGCAATTTTAACGCCGTTTTCCAATGAATAATGGGGCGAACAGTCATGTCTACTATGTGGCAATCAGACCTTTTGTTGAGGTTACTCACTACTCGTTCAATCAATCGTTCTTTATTAGTCGTGTCAAAAATCTAATACATTGCAGGCAAATGTGCAGGAGGAAGTGTCAAGGTTACAAACTTCATGTGGGACCTCTCGTGTTAATACAATGAAAAACAAAACCTATGGCGAACGAGGCAGGTAACACTTTCCAATTATCATACATAAAAACCACTTAACGAAATTAATGAAATGCAGCGGTCATAGCTTGACTGGAGCCTTTTAATTATCGCCTAAAAAATCTCGGACATCTTCCTCGAATGGAACCCTGATGGGATGCGAGACAGCAGCGTTGCGCACGTGTGGCGTCACGGGTTGAACGGCGCTAACGCGGGTGCTGCGGTGAGCGCTGGAAGAATCGTTTGAAGCGATGGCTGGCGTAGGTCTTGTAGGTTACACGCACAGACAAGTTTCAACGCGTATACGTTAGGCGCATGTCAGCTTTATTGCGTGTGAACAGACGTGTCGGCGTGATTTATTTGATTGATATGTGGGTTGTAACATGCAAAAACCACCATATGATTACGGGAGACGCCGTAGTGGAGTGCTCCAGAAATTTCGACCAGCTGGGGTTCTTTAACGTGCACCGAAATCTGAGAACACGGGCCTACAACGTTTTCACCTCCATCAAAAATGCGGCCGCTGCAGCCGGCATTGAATCCCGCGACCTCCAGGTCCGCAGCAGAGTACCTTAGCCTCTAGACTACCGCGACCGGGTGACGAGACAGCGGTGTAGAAAGGTGTTGCGGGTGAAAGGACGAGGCGGCAGATGCAAGCGCCGCGGCCGCAAGACGTGGCAGGCGAGGGAAACAGTGACGTCAGCCCACACTGCGAAGTGAGCGTGACGTCAACGCGCAACAGTGGTGTGACCTACTTGTCACCGCGCCAACACCTGCGGTGCGTGGCGCGTTGTGCGGAGGGACAGCGTTACACAGGCTAGTCAAAGAGCTGCTTCGCCCCTAAAACATGGTTGTGCAATAATCTTTCGGATCACGTGATAGTAAACTTCATAGTAAAATTGACAAAAACAATGCTAATTTTTGCATTATTAGTGTTAACTATTCACTTTTCGTTGCCTGCCTGGATAGGACCACATAAATTCGCGTTCCGGCACCGGAACGTGAGTCATTGGGTACTATGTCAACGTTGTGGACGCGCCCTCACACCTCGCCCGCAACCAAACAGAGCCATTTTGTTTCAACCTGGGCTAGAAACAAAGTCAAAGAAACAGGGACAGAAGCAAAAGAAACAAATAAAGAACTGTTAGCACATTTCATAATCACATGCTTCCCTTTTCCCATTGAAAAAATGGCTTCAGAATTTTTTTCTTTTGCAACTCCACAGACACGTCCCCTGCGTTTCATTCTGTTTGTCTCAAATAACATTATCATCTCTACGACCGCCCGAATATTTACAGGCATGCACATTTGGTGCAGTAAACATAAAACACTCTCAAATCGCATGGCTGGCTGCGGTATTATGTGTCCCGAAGTATTGATTCTTGATACTAGGTATACCAAACCATATTATTCACGCCCACTTGTATGACAATGATTTCTTGTGCTGTATGAACTTGCAGTGCTTCTTTACTTGTATGTTAGTTGGTACTGCGCACTTCTCGTTGTTTAAACTTGTTCAAGTAACACTGAAGCTTTTGTGGGCCGTGTATGAAACAGGAAACATTGAAATACACGCGCGAAATACGGCGACAACCAATCCTTCCAGTCACTCATCAGTCTCGTCACGTGGAATAAGTGTCATAAATGCGCGGGCCAAAAAGAAATACTTAAAAACACCTGTACGCATTCGCCTGTCTTAGATGCACACGAATTTGAACGAGTTTGTACTGATCCACGAAGATCAATGCTATGGGAGAGCTGAACGCAGTCATTCAGGCCTCGTATACTTTATGCCACATCGACAAAAATTACGGCCGGGCCAGGCCTTAGCTAGGAGCGCAAAACAGACCAGACACAAATATTAGACGAGACGAGCGCTCAAGTTAAACTAAAGAATATTCACAGAAAATGGCCAGCTTTTATCTTGTACCAAAAGGCAGCAGAAACAGGCAAACGCATTCGTGAAACCACAATCTAACAACTAAAGAACAGCCATCACCTCAAGGATCAAAATCATAAGAAAAATAGACAGAAAACTAGCTCTTGCACAAGAAGGCTCACGAAACACAGAAGAAACAATTTTGGTGAACAGACCCAGATTATGGCAAGCATATGTATTCGCATGGATGCGACTGGTCTATTCCCAGCGCCAAGCACTTATCGAGTTAAGCCACCTCCCGCGAATGCACGTGGAAGCATTTGCGTGGATATGCATCTCATCGTGTATCTCGGCTGTTTACATTTCCTAAGTACCTTGTTTGTCTTAGTTCAAGTCTTCATTGGGGGCTATGTGTTACGCCACCCACTAATCAGGCCTAGAATGACCATTAGATCAGTGCGGACTTGAAGCCACTTCATCTGCTTCAATCAGCATCTCGTTTTTTTCGTAATGGTGGACTCAGTGTAGCTCTTTACCCTGCTAAAAAATACAAGTATACGTACTAAACGCATGGGCGTAGTTTCATACTACATCCATAAAAATACGTAGACCCATGTCGGGATTCGAATCCACGCCCTAGAGTCTTCCGGCGCAACGTGTAAACCACCACGGCCCACGATAATATGCCGGTATAGTATATCCTCATGTCGTTCCGGTAGCATACTAATTTGCTGCGTAGCTATAACCTTGCACTTTAAACAATGACCGGCCATGTCAGATTAAGTCAAGGTATGCTGCATAATTGCCACCCCCCCCCCCATTGAGATAATTAAAGGGGGGCTGGCACGCCCCCTACCCCTCTCATGCACACATCTATGCCTCACACAATTAAAAATAAATAAATAAATAAAACACACCCATCGTGACTCGTGTCATCGAGTGGGTCTCTTTTTCGTTTGTCTTTTCGTCAAGTTCCAGGGAACGCAAAGTCATAAATGTCGTACCGACTAATTTCCAGAGCAGCTTTGCTTACCGATTGGCTTGTCGGTCATTACTGGCACGACTTGAGGGCGGGAAGGACGTATTGAGAAACATGCTTTCCTTCTTCGGCGGCATTAGCTCATGTTGATGGCACACGCACATCAGCGAAACAGCGAGGAACCGCAGAACGACGGCAGGGGGCGTAAGCAGAACAATTTTGTCAGACGCGCGTGACGGGGGAGGGGGTGGTGAATGGTCATTTTTGCGCTTTGTGTTTCACGACGAAACAAAAAATTTCGGTGGAGGTGGGAAGCACGGGCCCCACTGAACGACACGGCACCGTACTTTTAGTAAACGAACTGCCGTGCTCGATGAATAATCTGGGCCGCAGCGACAGCAGTTGATCGCTAGCTGTTCGCCGTGCGTACGCTGGCCCGAACGCCGCTGTCATGTTGGGCAATCTGCTATCAGGGCTAGCGTATCGTTGGGCACATTGCCGGGTCAACGAGATATCGCTTACTTTTGCGTGGTGCTTTCATGCGTACGCCTTCGGCAGTTTTATTTGCTTATGTGCTTTTCCCTGGCGAGACATTGCAGAGCTGGACTAATTCCCCGTATTCAGAAACGCTCATCGACTCGAATTCCGCCTTTCACTTGACTGAGTGGAGCACTGCGCCGCTGCTCGACTGAAATCGACGCTGCGCTTCTCGAGAATCGCTGCAGAATATTGCCGATATGCAGTCAATTGGTCTGCCAGGAGACGGCGCTCCTATCGACTTTTTTTTTAAGTCAAGGTGAAGCATTGAGTGAAGGAACGCTCTAGAATACGGTGGTAACTTGCATAATGTGTATATAGCCGCTCCCGTGACTGCCGAATGCCTTCGCTATAGCGCACGGCTGGCATGCCCTCGCCTTTGGGGACGTTGAATGCAACACGCAATAAACAACGATACGCTGTACCCTAACGGTTGCCAGAGCGATATTTTCAAGGCTGCTGTTCCACTGCAGTAATTTTGCACAATTTGGGCAACCTGAGCTTTTGAACTAGTATGCTATTGGGCTCGTGAACAGTTGTCACGATTTTATCTGCAATGTTTTTTTGTGTATAATTCAAGTTAGCTATTTGGCTAATAAAACAGCCTTGCTTCCTCAATCTTTTTTGTTGGTTTTTCTTTTTCTGGCGCACGTAATTATAGCGAGTACGTAGACGGCAACGGTGGCAACGAGCCGCCAACTGGTCTTCTTTGCAAGCTACACTATCAATTTATTGACATATACCTTGCCGCTGACACTTGAAAGTACGGAGCATGCGTGTTGTATAGTCCCCGAATTCCCCCCCCAATTGCCGTGAATCACATGTGTGGCAGGCCGCGAAACACGATTGTCCCTTATCGGCATCTTAGGCCTCGGTAATCGCCAATCACTTCTTATACAACAATGTGCTACGTTCCCATGCTGTCCATAAAACGACAAACAAAAAAGTATAAAAAATTGGCTCGTCAACGTCCATTCGTTATCGGCATGTGCTACGTATCCTCAAGTTTTCAGTGCACATAAGAAATCGCGTTGTATCGCTACTGAAATTCCTCTTATAAAGAGATAGAAAGAAAGAAGGAAAGAAAGAAGGAACGTTCTCTTTCGCGCCACACGCGCACAACCGCAGTGATGAGTGTCAAAACAATGGTGTGATTTTGAGAAGTGCTGTAGTAGAGGGCTACCAAAACTTTGATGTAACCTGCGCTTGCATTGCACGGTACACGAGACTCTATAGAATTTCGCCTACCAGGGGTGGCACCAGGATTACTTTACGAGGGGAAAGGGGGAGCACACCTATGATAACTGCATGAGCTCCTTCAGTGGGGGGGGGGGGGGGGCATGGGAGGTGGGAAACTTAGCTATTGTGCTGTGACTATTTTCCCTCTTGAGGGGGGGGGGCAACGGAAAATTTCAGGAAGCTCCGTCCCTCCGTGCCCACCCCTGACGCCACCCTTGTGCAGATTGATGATGATTGATTGATTTGTGGGGTTTAACGTCCCAAAACCACCATATGATTATGAGAGACGCCGTAGTGGAGGGCTCCGGAAATTTCGACCACCTGGGATTCCTTAACTGTGCACCCAAATCTGAGTACACGGGCCTACAACATTTCCGCCTCCATCGGAAATGCAGGCTCCACAGCCGACCCTTGTGCACCTACACTGAAATGCGACTGCCACTCACAGTATCGTGACCGCCACTTTCGAGTAGCCGTCGAGCAACGTCAACAATCATATTACCGAGGTGTACAGTTGCAATTACAGTTATACTAAGTAGCCACTACGTCAAGAATGTAATTTGGGTACCAGTGGAGCACCCACGATACCTTTATTCGTCGTTCTGCAGAGTAGAGTAGTGAGCTATATCTCGCTACATATCTTGGGCGATGCCTTGGCTGGTTGGTTGGCTGCTGACAATTAATTAATGGCTGACCCCTCTTTCATGAGTGTGAAATTATAAACACCACACACATTAAACGATTCACATTTGATGCCTGGTTGTTTTTACTTTTATACCCGTGCTATATACATATATCACTTAGCATGATTTCTTGCCCGACATGGTGCCCGTACAGCGTCTTCCAAGAGTGGATGTGTGGTACCGTGCGGATCTGTATACAGTCAGCAGCGTGGATATGTGGTGTATAATACTCGATTACCGCACAGGGGGCGTGGGTTCAAATGCCGCTGAGATCCAGGATTGTTTTGTTTTTCTCATTGTGGGCCATTTGCGGTCCCGGGCACCTGTGGCGGTGCGCAACTACAACTCCATGGTCGGCCGTTTTGGTCACGTAACAACTTTCGCTGTAATAATAACACTAGTCATTTACTATTTCTAGAAATATATTCCCTGAATTCATCAGGCCTGCATAATCCCAGCTGGTCATTACCGGCAGGTGTATTGATCGCAGTCAGTTGCAGTAATCAATACTCGCCTCATCTAACTATAACTTTCTACTTTTGCACTATCATACTGCGACATTTGAGAAGTGAAAGTACACTGCAGTCATTATATCGATTGATCAAGTTGAGCCCCGTACAGCTGTTAATGCAGTCGATGCTTCGACAACCTTGTTTGCAATAACTGTACCGTGCGTGTGATATTCGTATGAAGCCCGCTCGGCGCAGTACAAAGAGCGAATTGGGGTATGAGAATGTAAGAAATATAGGCAGTTTGTAACGCTGTACAGACGGGTTCTCTGTCGATAAGTTTGCGTGAAGGGCGTGTACAGATCTTACTCTTTTGTCAAAGCCACAACTGCTTAGATTTCGATAATGCTACTCCTGGTTGGCAGTTATGACTCCTTCCGGCAAACCCGTTCAGTGTACCAACAATGTTTCGATATCCGCTTTCAGTTAAGGGGGTAGCAATATGCACATGCATACGTAGCAATATGAGCACAAATTCCATTCAAAGAGCTACGGAGAGTGTTTGTTGACGTAACATCGTTGCCATGAACTCGTTTACCTTTAGCTTCAAGGCTTCGCTACGAAGTGGTGATATCGTTTTGGCGTTTTGTCAGTAATGCTGCTGTTCATAGAGTGTCTTATTCGGGGCATGTGCAAGCTTACTGCATTCCTGCAACTGGGTTATGTACAATGCACTGTATATGTAAACTTTATTTTGTCGTTGTTGTTGTTGCCATCACCGTTATGTTGACGTATATATGGGTGGCCAGAGCCCTCTAAACCTGTCCTAACCAGCTTTTTACCCCCTAATCTCTCCCAACATTGCTTTGTAGTGCTGAAAACAAAGGCGATTCAGTTAAAGAGGTGCACAATATATAGAGCTCCCTCCATCGGCTTTTCGATCTGTTCAAACAACTGAAGCCATGCGCAGAAGGCACAACATCGTGAATGCACAAGCATGCCTAGCCCCCCCCCCCCCTTTCTCTTCCCTTATCAATTACAAATATCTCGTCCTGTGAGGTTAAACGATAAAGCATGAGCCACCTATCGTGACCCGCACTGCTTTCCCTTCGCTGTGGGCGGCCGGTGATCTATACGTCGTCACGTGGTGAGCCCACGTGGAGAGACGGACGATGTCTGATCAGTATTCACCGAATGAGGTGTGTGCGGTATTTAGACTCGGCAGATTAAAGGTTTGCCGCTGCCTTCTCGTCCAGATCTCCGCGTGTTCCTCACTTTTCATCGGAAATTAAACGACTTCAATTCGGAGATAAAAGGGCTTGCTTTATCTACGAAGCGCGATGTGAATTATCTTCTGCGACCACGAGCGAATGTTTCTTAACACGAGCCATGTATTTGAAAGATAACGATCGGAGAGGGAAGGTAAAAAAAATGGAGTTTGGTGGAACTAGTTGCTAACCCATATCAGAGGGGACATTAGTGCTATCCATCTATTAACTTTCAGGATAATTATTGCATGTGCCGTCTACTGGGTGACCATGCCTTACTTCAAATAACGACCTTTTTTTATGCTCGAATTTTTATTTATGGTTACAGCGTATTGCTCTGTGAAAGAGAACAAAATACCGGAGTGATAAAGATTGAATCAGTTATGACATAAGCAGACTAAAAGATCTAATGGAACAATAATTGCTGAAGTCTTTATCACTCTGTGTCTATACACTTTGTAAGCTAATGGAAACATTCATCAGGCTGACTTTAGCAAACATTGTAAGAAATCAATTACAAAATGGGCATTCAGTGCCTTCATTAACCCTTTAGGGTACAAAAATTTACTGACCTGACGGAAATTAAGGCGTTGTAAAGCGGCATATGGTTGTAGCTCGCTGCTATATTCTCGAGCTCCAAATCTTGCGGCAACCATGATTTAAAAGAAAATGTTGGGAGGTCAAACTTCGTCTCAAGATGTGTAAACTTCAATGGAATACAAGACGGAACATTCTAGGCATAGCATACTCCCGGATACGCTAAAGTTAGAAAACAACGAATGTGAGGGTACTATCATCATTGATGCTGTGATTCATCCGTTGTCTTCGCATGGCATCCCATCAGTTCGACTCTTCGGGCTGCGCGAAGGCCACGACACATTTTGATGGAGTAACTGTTAAACAGGCAAACTATACCTTGAGTAGGAAAGAAGAATTAAAAGAGAAAGCTGG